CCTAATATAATGTGACTAATACTGGAACCTGGAACAATGAAATTAAGAAAGCCTTGCTGAAGATCTATCTAATACAACCTGGGATTGGGTAAACTCAATAGAAACAATTCCTTGTTAAGGAGTTAAGGACTCCATGCTATAGAGTGGAAGTGACTCCTTGATAATTCTGTTATTCTGCAATAAGCATAACCAGAGCCTTGCAATCTACCTTCTCCTCTATAAAAAGGTCCTTCCCTTTCAAACTCATTTATCTTGAATTATCTTGCCACATCTACTGAAGCATTTTCTACCACATCTACTCAAGCATTTTCAGCATCAGTTTGAAGGAGAGGATGTTAACTGTCAGTCCTCAGAGATCTTCCTACTGATGAGAAACTATTTGCATTTGTTCAGCTTCTGCAATTGTTCATGCTTTTAAATAATTACTGCCTGACTCAAGAAAGTTGAAGTTGTTTAGCTGTATGAAATTTGGCTCCATGTGGAGTTTCTTGTGGAATTGAAAGTTGAAATTGTTTAGTTGTATGAAATTTGGCTCCATGTGGAGTACTTACAGAACTGAAACTGAATTGGCCACCTTCCCTGATTTGATGCAGTCCTCTAAGCCCAAGCAATCTCTGCAAGTTTCCAATATATGTAATACCTGCTATTCAACCTTTTCATTAACAAAATGTTTACCATACTGTTGCTTTTAGCATAACTGCAAGTAGTCCTGACGTATTTTTTTGTTCCTTTGTTCCTTTTCTGTTTTAAACCTACAGCTAGGCAGCAGGATGTTAGATCTCTGTGGGATTTTCTACGAAAATAGCTAGAAATAGAAATCTTGGGGAAAAACCTAAACTAACTTCTGTAGAGAAATAAAAATTGATAGACAGAGAAACAAATGTACTATTCTTCATGAGTTTTTGATTAAGTTAAATGTGCCATGACTTTACCTACATTAGGGAAATTATCTGAGAAGATAGATACAGAAAGCTTATGGGTTAGGGTTAAAGAAAAGTCAGGGAAGGAGACATCTTAGTGGGAATCTGCTACAGGCTACATGGTCAGGAAGACTAAGTGTATAAGGCCTGCTATAAACATATAGGAGCAGCTTCACATTCACAAAATATATCCCTCATGGTGGATATCTTGATATCTGTTGGAGGGACAACAGCAGTGTACCAGAAATCAAAGAGGTTCCTGGGCTGTGTTAATGACAGCTTCCTCTTCCATGTGGTACGGGAACCCATGAGAAAAGGTGCTATGCTGGACCTTGTCCTCACCAACAAGGAGGGGCTGGTTAGTAATGTGAGGCTCCGGGCAGCCTTGGCTGCAGTGATCAAGAAATGGTGGAGTTCAAGATTCTTAGGGCATCAAAGAGAATGTGCAACAAGCTTGCTACTTTGCTGAAGGGAAGAGAGGCCCAAGAAAGCTGGTCAGTATTCAAGGACCATCTCCTCCAAGCCCAGAAGCAGTGCACTCTAAGAAAAAGGAAGGCAGGCAAGAATACCAGGAGGCCTCCATGAATCAACAAGTTGCTCCTGGACTTAAGCTCAAAAAGAAAGTCTCTAGAGAGTGGAAGCAGGGAAGGGTTACTTGAAAGGACTACAGAGTTGTCCAAGTAGCCAGGAATACGATTAGGAAAGCTAAAACCCAGAAAGAATTAAATCTAGCCAGGGATGTAAAGGGCAACAGGAAGAAATTCTGTAAGTTGAGGGAGGGGAGATTTAGGTTGGACATCAGGGGGAAATTCTTTACAGAGAGAGTGGTGAGATACTGGAACAGGCTGCCCAGAGAGGTTGTGGATGCCCCCTCCCTGCAGGTGTTCAAGGCCAGATTGGATGGGGCCCTGGGCAGCCTGCTCTAGCATTAAATGAGGAGGTGGCCCCCCATGTGGCAGGGGGGTTGGAGATTCATGATCCTTGAGGTCCCTTCCAACCCTGGCCATTCTGTGATTCTGTGATTCTGTGATTTAAACTGTAACTGTCTGCCTTTCACAAAACAAATATCATGCTAGAAATGTCTTGTACCATTTGAGGCTTCAGTGAAAACTACCCCACAAGGCAGTGGGGTAAGTTAAGACCCTTTCTTAACTACATGAACTCCATGAATGTAGAAGAGCTGATTTTGAAGACTTGTGCTGTTACCTTTGCCACAAGCTCTCTCAGACTTTGACCTTTACGTTGCTTATGACAATAGCAAACTGACAACCTTCTGTAATGGAGAGGATCAATATTAGCTGGACAACTGCTTTTTACAGTGATGTTCACCTATCATTTAAAGACTCACAAAGTGTATCTTCCAGCAGAGTTCCCTGGTGTGCTATCAGACTCGTGTCAGTTAACCCAAGGAGAAACGCTGAGTTTCACTAAGGATGGAGTAGCAGTACAGCAGTATGATACCTCATAAAGTTGTTCCTCTGTCATAGATACTTCAACCACCCCTAACTCTGCCCTAGAACTTCTAAGATTATGTTTTTCTGAACTGTTTTATTATTTTTAATTTTTACCATTTTCAGCTTTACAGAGTAGCTTTTTAAAAAACAATCAACTGCTTAGCAAATCAATACACATGATTTTATATCAATTTGCTTTTGAAATTGATTTTTCTTTTGAGAAAAAAAAAAAAAAAAATCCTGTTTCAAATTGTCTAAAACCATTTCTGCTTGTCTTTGCCACCAGAGATCAAAGTATAGCATTGTAAACACTGTCTGGAAATATTTAGCTTCAGCTTACCTCTGTCTCAAGAAACACTGCATCCACAGCCTGTTATTTCTTACTGTACTTTGCATCTTTGTTATATTTCAGTGGCTTCATTAAAAGACAACAACTGAAATCTTTAATTCATGGACATACGCTGCATGCTTAAAATACTTGAACATGAATAGCATGTTACCAAAATGACTGCAAGGTTACTTTAAGCAGAGTTTTTTCCTTGGTATAAAACTCAAGCACAGGAGCATCAAGCTGTCTTCACAAACTAGAATTCAACAAAGAGGGAATGTCCTAAACTGTAAAGGGTGTTGAGATGGTGGACTAATTAAGTTTAAATATTTAATGTCGCCTCAGTTGTTTTAACCAAATTACTTTTCAGGCAAATGGTCTTTTCAGAGGTGAATTCAGTAAAGTGAGTTTTGTCACAGTAAAATACTGTAGTGACTTGAAAAATATCCACATGGAGTGATTGTCTAAGAATTAGATAAAGGACAGTTTAAATATTTATAGAAAACAGGGACTAAGCATTTGACTGTTGATGAAAATTTATGGGTTTGAAGAAGCCCCAGATAAATCAGAATTTCTGTCCCTGGACAGCACAGCATTTCAAACTGAGACTTAGCCACTTTTCAACAAAAAGGCATATGCAATTCATGGGAAAGTATTTGAATGTGAAACTAGGAGCTTGACAACTACCATTTTGCCACTCCTATTTTACAGACCTGCAGCTGGCCTTCCTTGGAGAGTGTTTTACGCTTTCCCATGTACCTGCAGTGACACTTTGGAGAAAAGTAAGGGCGGAAAGTAGGTTTGTATAAATGGTAAGATACTGTAGCATTTCACTCTGGCTGTAACTCCAAACTATATGAGTTTTGCTTTTAAAAATTTATATATATAAATATACGGGTTTCATATATATATATATATAGATATATGTATATGAAAACTACTATGTAGACAATAAATCATTTATTTTCATAGGTAGTTTTATTTCACAAGATGAGCAGACAGCTGCATGAGAAAAATGAATCTAAAAAAATTAGCAGTAACTTTAGTTGAAGAAATGTGTTACAGCATTAACTGCCTTCTGATGTATCTGTCCCTCAGGACACTCCAGTAAGGACTTTGAAAAGGCAGCATTGGGGGGATCCAACTTGTATTTCTGACATTAGCCTTCTCCTGCAGCACCCAGATATTCCTGCAGGTGAACAAGCCAGTCTTCTGGCAGTAGTTAAATCTAAATACATAACGTACAAACGTTAAATCTGATCCCACAACTAACTTTCAGGATGAAAAGTCACAGAAGACATCAGATTAGGGTAAACATAAAATCTTTCAAACTTCTGACAGGCAAGCAGTAATTCTGGGGAAAAGCCACCCTCTCCATGAAACAGGGATTTCAACCTTGTGATCTTCACTTACACAGAAGACCCATTTCACAGACATAGGAAACTTCTTCCTTCTCTCCCCTTTTTGCACATCTTTGCTTGCACTGTGCAACTGCACATTAATCAACAGCATTCAGCCTAACATGAGGCCTGAATGTGCTAGCAAAAATTACCAGCTGATAAAATGTGAAGCAGGACAGTTTCTGCCTTTTGAGTCCTACTCAATAATTGTTCTAATGAAAGCTGAGAGGAAAACTTGGCTACTTTTTCTTCTTCCCCTCTAGAACTTTCACTTCTGAGTTCACAAAAAAATGAAATATCGCTTTTCAGCTGACCACAGTATTTCACACGACTGGAACACATGATTTAACACTTCAACAGTTTAGAACTGAAGTGCTTTAACTCTTCTGCAAAGGAAACTATTCATAGATCACTATTTGTGCAGTGTCTCAGCCTCACACTGTTCTGGTCAATCTAAAGAACTTTCTTTGGCATATGTTCATTTGAAAACCCTTACCTGTAGTTTTCTTCTTTCTAGGAAAATAATATGAATATCTGATTCAATATATCTTAGAACTGTAATCTTAGTGCTCTAGACTAATTTTAAAATCCAATGATTTTCTTTTATCCCCCATCTTTCACTCCTTTTGTTGTTGTGTCAAAGTGTCAAAGACTATGTGGTCTTGGACTGAATCTATCAAAGCTGCTAACAGGGAAGTTAGCAGCAAATTTACAAAGTCAGACTGTATTGCAAATTCATGCCACACTCCCTTCCCATCAAAGCAAAGAAATATCCCTCAGTCAGGTGCAGTTTTTGGTTGCAGTTATTTGAGCAATCTAAATTAGTATTTATTAAATTCTGTAGAAAAGCTTGAAAGTGGCTCAATCTTAGCCCTCTTTAATTCACAGGAAGAAACCATGCTTTTAAAAAAATGTTTATTCAGATACCTCTCATGAAGATACCTGCAGTATATTCAATATACATCTTCCCTCATTCCTTCAAAAACACTTAAGCTGTGAGGTAATTTAGGACAAAATATATATAAGGGCACTTAAAAAATAAAAGCAAGAGATCAGTAAACAAATTGTAGGCAGGATAAATAGAAAAATATTCAGTCTTCCTTTCATTACAGTTTCAACAAAATGCACTTCAAAAAGCAAAATAATCAAGTCACTAAGTTGAAAATTAAGTGTATTTCTCAAGCAAAGCTGACTTAAGCAATTACTATACCTGAGTTTACATTTCAGGAATAGGGCCCATAACAGTACAAAAGAAAGAGCATCCAGGGGCAGATCTTGATCTTCCTATCCCTTATACTCAGAGGGACAGGAAAAAAAAAAAATAAGAACACTCAAACCTACAAATTTGTATGCTGTCTTGCTGGCTCCATGTGGGCAGAATATGGTCACTCTCTTCAGCAGCATCTCCATTCATGCCTGTCTGACTGCACAAAGGAACCTATTCCTGCAGAAGCTTTGGGGAATGTTAGCATGGGTGTCCTGCTGTCCCAGAGGGACCTTTTAAGTTTGAAGAATATTATTCCAGAGATGCAAGGCACTTGCTGGGAGGGTCTGAGATGAAAACTGTGCGTTTGGAAGACTGTTTCTCTGTCCATTCAATAGATAAGAGAGGTAAGGCTATGCCACATATCCCCTGTCAGATAATTCCAAAGGAACTCTGATCTAAAATGTGGCATCTCTGATACGCATGAAGATTATTACTTTGGAAAGCATTACTTCGTTCTCACTTATATGCTAAATTGGAAGACGCAATACTCTAAGTAAGATAATGTTATAGTTGTAAAGATATGCTTTGGGAATGAAATAATAACATAGGTTGTAGTTCTCTAGGCTGAAAAAAGCTAATCAGAATCTTCATCATCAAGATATTCCTCTGCATTGCTTAATGTTCGGGCTGTACCTGGAAAGAAACAAAGCTTTCTTTTAGTCTGAGATAAAAATTAGACAAAGCCTCAAATACAACAAAACAGAACAAACCCCCCACTGATTTGCAGTGCTTGACAATTAGTATATGAGAAAACTGATTCCTGTCTCATTTAGTTATGCTAGCACTATACAGACGTTGGGGCTGAAGATCTGCATCTCAAACATGGAGTTCTTCAGCAAGGTCTGCAGTGACACCCTAGTCCTTCATTCAGTGACTAAGCCAGTCCACACACCTCCTTGCCTGTTCTCAGTGTTCTCAGTGACTCTAAGGAGCCATCTTCTGGCTCCTTAGAATACAGCAGAGCTGCCGCTAATTTTACTTTCTGTATGTATGATCTTTAAAGTGCAAACAAAAGGATGACTGAGTTGACAGGCGAGTCTCCACAGTTTTCTTCCAAATGCTTAATCGGCTGCCATTTTTAACACAAAACTGAACACATTCCATCTATCGTCTTCTCTTTCCTCATTTTTTTTTTTGTTTTTTTTCCAAGTGTATCTTACATCTCATTTCTTAGGATATACTTTAACAGTTATGACACATGAATGTGTGCGTTTATACACAAAACAACACATCTGAGCGGTGGTAAAATAACCTTTCAAAGAGCAAACAATATTTTATTGATGGACCGAGATATAAGCTGTATCTGAATAGGAACAGATTTGAAAATGGGGACAGGTGAACTACTGCAACAGGACTGAAATTTTGAAAAAGATCCTTTTTCAAATTAACATTTGCTTGAAATGCTAAAATGTAGAATCAAGAGTCACAGAAAAAAAATAAATTAATACAAATGACTAAGATAATACAGAATAAGAGAAAAGTACATGGACCAGTGGTGTCAGAGATTATAAAAGACCAAACTAAGCGAGAGAAATAAGTAAAGAAGCTAAAATGGAACTGCAGTTAAAACTGACATCAGCTCTCATAATAAGGCAACTTGAAAACACAGTGCAAGAGTATCAGAGCCTGCCAGAAGAAGTGCAAAGGATTAAAAACTAATCAGCTATGAAACAAAAATAATTGAGGAGTGATGCAAATGTAATAGAAGTAGGTAGTATTTCTACAGCCAGGAAACACAACAATTAATTCAATTATTTTGGACATTAAAACTGAGAATACTCCCATTATCAGATGTGTTTCTAACAGATAGGAAAAAACAAAGTCAGTGCTCCTAAAAGGATTAGCTATCATTAGAAAAAAATATTTGTATTGAAACAGAGGAAAGCTTGCTCCTAGTTATAGCTGCTTTCTTGCAAGTCAAAACTGATGTCAATTTTGTCAGCATTTTCTAATAAATCCTGGTACTACCTCTTGTTATCAAAAAACTGGTTGCTATTTTTGCCACAACTGAGCCTCCTAAAGCTCCTTTCAACTATTCCATCATTTATCCACAAGTTTGTATACCTTTGGTTCTCATGCTTTCCATACAATGGTACAGTTGCCAGACTGCATATCCCAATTCAGTCCTTGTTCAGCTTTTTAAAGTGGCCTTATATCTCCTTTTTGGGATTTGTTGTTGTTGTTTTCAGTTTGTTTGTTTAGTTTGTTTTTAAACACAGTCAGTGTGCTATTAGAAGGGATGAACACAAGTGGGAGGCAGTGAAACTATTCTGATAAATACTGTGCAAGCATTTTTTCTTTATTTCTCTAATGGAGAGTCAAATTGGTGAAATACAGGAATAAGAAATTTAAAAAAGAGCAAAAAGAAAACAAAAGAGAAGTTTCTGTTGATGTTGGCTTAGTTTGGAGTAACAGGTGTGATTAAGAAGGCACCAACCATATTGTTTCATACCCTGTTTCTTACAGTGTAATACTCTTAAAGGAAGTTTGTTTCCATCCTTGCTTTTCTTCTGAATAGCCCAATTGTTTCTACAACAAACTCCTCTGACTCTTGCTGACAAAAGATGGCATTTTGCAGAGAGTGAGTAACACTGAATGTTATGAACCACAGGCCTCTATCACAACTCTGCTGAACATTCCCATTCAGATAGACCCTTCCAAACAAACTCTTATCCCACGTATCGCCAAAGTAGTTATTACAACTATCAACATGTTGATATTTAGTTTAAATTGTAAGCGTCCTCAAAAGATGAAAAACATACTGGAAGAAAAATCAGAAATACCTGCAGTCTGTTTCTTCTTAAGAAGTGAAGCACAAGCTGCATTGGTTGCCATGTCTAAAGCCAGTTTCTTCTCATTGTTCTTCAGATCTGTTCTTGCCCCTTTATAACAGAAAATTCCCATCATGACTTATTGTCCAGGTACATCTTAAGCAATGGTATTATGAGAAGATTTTCAGTAGCACGGGTAAAACAATTCAGAGTAATAAACAAGGAAATCTCATCTGTGGACTGATCTGAAGCAGACTAAAAGCTAAGGATGTTCTTCCATAAGCTACAGTTATTGGGGAAATTGTTGGCTGTTCTCCCTCTCGTTTCAGGAAGCAAATGGAACTGCTGTTCTTGGGTTAAGTTCCTAATTTTGTTTATAAAGCAGGAAAAAAATTTATCTGGAGCAGATAAAATGTCTATTTCTCAAACAGCTGCCAAATTTTCTGCAAGGCTTATACAATCAGGCAGGCTAGCTGGCTAGGGACTGTACCTGGGTTATAGGAAAGGAGTTTAAAAAACACACATTAATAAACATTCAGGAAGCTAGTCTGCCATACAGATTGTTGAAATCTTGGTGAAGATCTTTACCCTTCGCCAGCAGCATCTCTACAATATCTGCATAACCTTTCCATGCAGCAGCATGCAAAGCTGTGTCTCCCAATTTGTTCTGTGGAGTTAGAGGGAAAAGCAACAGGATTAAAACACAGCAAAAAAAATCTTCTGGCTTGTACCATGAGTGAATAGCATCACATCTTTAGTGTAAGGGTCCTACCTGCTGGTTCAACTCTAGGTTTGCTTGGGTAAACAGAACATCCACTATATCTGCAGAGAACAGAGAAAAATAGGAGTTTAGTGGAAACTGTGCTTATTTGCATACAGGATATAGATCTTAGTTGAAATTCAATGAAAGAAAGATCCAATCAGTTAATGAAAATCTCTAACAGCCAGAAAACATTGAGAAAACAACCGTTAGTCACCATGAAACACTACAATAAAATATACAACACTTTTTTTTGGTCTGTCCTTCTTACTACTCTGCTTCTAACAGTACAGTGATTAGAATGACCCCTCCAATAGCAGCAACAAAATACACAGCATTTGGCAGATCTGAACTTCACTTTAATTCTTTAAAAAAAAAACAGAATAGCATAAGAAAATCCTGGCTTTATCATTCAGCACAGTGACTTTATCAATCTGTCTTACAAACAAGTGAAGAAAATTAAGAGTCAGTTATTTTAAATTAATTCTTTCTTACCTTTGTGGCCTCCATGGCATGCCCAATACAGAGCTGTATTTCCAGCTTTATCTAAGCCATTGACACCAACTCGGTTATCCAAACACTCTCTCAACCAGCTTAGGTTGCCTGAAAAAAAAATCCATTTTACTGATTATTTTTCTTTAAAAAGTTAACAGAATAATTAAAAGCACTCAGTTCTCTCTGTTCTATGAACAAACCAGGTGAAAAAATTATTACCAGCAACAGTTACAGCTTGTGGCTTTTTAGTATATAACAAACATTTCTTACTCCATTCCCAGGAGATCTTCGGGTACCTGTACCTGTGTAACACCAGTCATTTTTGCTGTGCATACAATCATGTCATATTTAGTGGCAATTCTACCAGGCTGTAACCAGCTTCTGAAAGCTGCAATTCATTATCTATTCTATCTATCTAATCTATTCATTAGATAGTTAGGTCAAAATACCAGGGAACCAAAACAGACAAGATATCCTCATCCTAGATATATTTGTTATTTTAGCACAAAACAGTCTTCTAGCATTAGCATTACACAACCAAAATCCAAATCACACTTACCTCGCTTGGCAGCTTCATGCAGTGGGTTATCAATAGACTCTGCTTGTTCTGCCACTGAAATAAAACAGATAATAAATTCTACTAAGTCTGAAACAGGGTATTTGATATCTGCACGGAAATAAAGCTTTTTCTTAGTTCTGGAAGTGCCAGTAATACATGTTCAATCTGAATGTGAACAGAGACTTGGGAACGATAAAACTAGACC